TGTAACTAAAAACATGTATAAATAAAAACGTTTAAAAATAAATAAAATTTGAGCTGAGAAAATTCCATTTCATGCATCTAATCTCCACAAAAGCAAAGATCTCCCTTTAGATATTCTGCTTTATTCCATTAAACTATTGATTTATATCTGTACCAACACCACAGTACATGAATTACTATTACCATCTTTGGATAATTATTCTTGCTAGTCTCTATACTTTTAAATAGATTTATTGGTTAAAAATTATTGGCTTCTTTGAAATTTATACTAATATATTAGCTGTAATGTGATTTTTTAAAGTTCTTTTTGAACAACTAACTTTAATTTTCTCCAAACGTCTGGTTTATCTTTTTAAAAAATGTATTTAGTACAATGTCTACAGGATCTCATTACATAGATTGTACTTGTAGTGATTCTCCTGTTTTTAACCTCCCAAGCACTGGGATTACAGGTGGGCACCACCACACCCAGTCTCAATCACTGCCTCAGTGTGGCATGGCATGCCAGCGATTGAACCCCATCCCCTGTGCTCTGCTTAAGCAGGCACTTTAGTCTGCTGAGCTATCTGGCCAGCCCTTCTTGCTTATCTTTTGTTATCCATAATGATACATTCTTTATATTTTTTGCTATCATTATAAATTTATCTGACAGTGAAGATTAACTATCAGAGACAAGTACAATTAGCCTAATAAACCACAGGATGGAGCTGTAAACACAATAATTTGACTTACTGAGACCTATGACTGTATATTACTCTAGTATCTCAGACTAGGATTTTTCCTGCAATTTTATGAGACTTATAAATGACTTTAAAAGAATTGTCATTTTTACTTTGAGTCTTTCCAAGCATAAACCTTATTTTTCCATTTATTGAGGTCTCATTTTAGCCCTTCAGTACATTTTTTTTTTATAATCCATGGAGACCTGGCATAAGTCTTATTCTTTTTGGAAGGTGTTTTGTAGGGGTTGGTTCTCTGATTTTTTTATATCTACTTCTGTTATTTCTGATTGGTAAAAGATAATATGTAGACATGTTATAGAATTTTGTATAGGCCTTATGCCCAGCAAGTTTTAGTAATCTTATTTATCAGTGTTGTAGAATATCATAAATTGTCACGTAAAATGACTGCATATAGTGACTTTTATATCTGCCTTCCCAGTCTTACCTACCTTGTTGCTTCTTTCTTTTTCATTAATTTAATTGAGAAACAAATAGCAATGAGACAGTTTCAAAACCTATTAATAGGACAGTTTCAATAGTTGAAATATTGCATATTGTTGTCTTCGTAGTGGTTATTCATAGTACAAGATGCAGACATGATATCCTGTCCGAACACTATTAGTACAAATCTTTCTTCTCATTGAATTAAGAGAAAGTAGCTGTATATCTATCCTATTTTGTATATACAGATACAAAATGGTCCTTCATTTGTATTCCCTTTTTTTGTTTAGTCCTGTCCGAGATGGGTATTCCATTGCCATTTAAATATTATAAGTGTGCGAATTCAGTAAAATAATCCAATATAGTCCAGTAGTCCATAATAGTAGTGGGTCCAGCAGAAAAGTATAAAAATGAGGTATAAAAAGTAAAGCCATATTAATATGCTGAGCTGCAAGAGGCTCAAGTCAACAATTTCTGACATTGCCAGTCCTAAGGATAACCTTATTGTTTCTCTCAATGCATTTTTTAGATATTTTATACATTGTTAGAAAACAGCTTTGATCCTTACTGTTTCTGACTTCAGTTCCAATTCCTCTAAAAATTCAGTGTAATATAGTTTTTTTGTTGTTGCAGCTTGTTTTTATTGAAACAGGTAATTTTTATTTCTGTCCCATTTTATGGGGTGCATTTATTTCTAGTGCTTGGTGATAGATGTGTAGTCCTCTGACACTGCAGAGCTTTTTTCTGCCTAGTACTGGGGATTGGTTTCATTTTTTTTTTTATTTTTTTTTATTTTTGTGGTACTGGGGGTCAAACCCAGGGCTTCACAGATGCTAAGCAAGCAGCCTATTTCTTAGCTGCACCCCAGGCCCTTAAGGTTTACAAGGTTCATAGTCAAGCCACCACTGACAGAAACCATTGTAGTTTCTTCATATAATTACAGTGGATAAAGATATATGAATGAATAAATTTGAGCATATCATATTGATGCTTTGAAGCTTAATCATTTTCACTTAATAATGTGTCTTCAAGATCTTGTTGTTTTGTTTTTTTGTTAATATTTATTTATTTTTATTTATTACATTTATTTATTGTGTGTGTGTGTGTGGCCAGCTCAGCCCACCAGGGGGCGGGTCTGGCTGGCATGTGGTGCTGGGGATCGAACCGCGGTCCCTGTGCTTTGCCAAGCTTGTTCCAAGTAGGTGCTTTAGACCACTGAGCCATCTCTCCAGCCCCTGTTTTGTTTTGTTTTGAGGCAACATGTCACTACATATAATTTACTATAGCCTGATGTAGGCTTTTTTCTTACAACTGTGTAGATTCATTTCTATTATTAATTGTAAGAAAGAATTTACATTCACGTTGAACTTTATTTTTTATTTGTCCAATCTTTTTATTTTTTAAATAATTTTATTGAGAAACAAATAGCAATGAAACAGTTTCAAAATCGATTACTAGCACAGTTTCAATAATTAATACATTGCATATTGTTGTCTTAGTGGTTATTCATTGTACAAGATGCAGACATGATATCCTGTCCACAAATACTATTAGAACAAATCTCTCTATTCAATGATCCAAGAGAATGCAGCTGTGTATCCTAGCTATTCTGAACATACAGATACAAAATTTTGTTCATTTGTATCCCCCTTTTTGTTTAGTCTTGTCAGAGAAAGGTATTTCATTGTCATTTAAATATTGTAGGTGTGTGAATTCAGCAAAATATTCCAATATAGTTCAGGGGTCCACATTAGTAGTGGGTTTTCCATAAGACTGGCAATGACAGAAGTTGTTGACTCAGCTGGGGAGATGGCTCTGTGGAATAAACTCTTGCCTGACAAGCACAAGAACCTGAGTGCAATCCCCAATTTTGCCAAAAAAGAAAAATAAAAAATAAAAAAAGAAGTTGTTAGTGCTGGGGAGATAGCTCAGTAGAATAAGTGCTTGCTTGGCAAGTTCAAGGTCATGAGTTCAATCCCCAGTACCGCCAAAAAAAAAAAAAAGTTGTTGACTTGAGTCTTTTACAGCTCAGCATATTAATATGGCTTTACTTTTTATACTTTCATGTTGAACTTTAATAAATGGCTTAAAATCGTAATGAATTCTAATTTTTAACAGTTTACTTAAAATCATCATAGCTGTGTCTTTAGAAGAAGATATGTTCATACTTAACTTTTCTTCTACTGCCCATATTTGTGGTATAAAATTTTTCAATATAGTCATTTGTTGCATAATAAATTGCCTCAAAACTTGTCATCCTAAAACCATAGCTATTATCTCATAGTTTGAGGGTCAGGAATACAGAAGCACTTAGCTTGGTGGATCTGGATGAGGGTCTCTTATGAAGTCAAGTCAGCTGTCTGCTGGTACTGCAGTCCTTTCAGATTATAGTGGATCTGAAAAAAATCTCCTTCTAAGCTCACTGACGTGTCTGCTGGTGGGCCTCAAGTCCTTATAGGCTGCTGGCCGTTGTACTAGTTGCTGTGAGTCACTCCACAAATGACACGAGTGTCCTCATAACAGTGCAACTAAAGTCCCCTAGAGTAAAAAGTGAGAGGGGAGGATCCTAAAAAGGAAGCTGCAGTCTTTTACTACATAATGTCAGAAAGACACTATCACACCTGCAATATTTTATTGGTCACAGGGACAAAGAAAGAGTGTGGATACGGGAGGGGATTACACCAAAGTGTGAAGACCAAATGTGAGGGTAACTGGGGACCAGCTTGGGGGGTAACCACCCACCCACAGAATAAATAAAATAGTTCTCCCTCTTTTTTATTCTTCTCCGAAATGGATAATTTAATACAAATGGTTACTCTTGGAGCACTCATTGAAAGTAGTAAGGAATATTTTCCTAATTCAATGGCTTTCTTCAGAAAATAATTAAAATACAATTTTGATTTGTCAGGAATTTTGTGTTTATTTGTTTTTATCATTATTTAACCAAGTTGTCTCCCTTTGAGTTTATAGAGCACAAAGATGGAGCAAGGATCATGTCCAGCTCTGGTTATTTCTGTTCCATGGAGTCTAGAATGTTGCCTTTGGCAGTATTGGCCAAAACATGTCATCAACATGACCCACAATGGAAACACTTTAAGATAAAAGAAATGGTGTCTTGAAAAACAGAAGGCACACACGATGTGTTAATTATTGAAACTGTCCTACCAATTTGATTTGAAACTGTCTCATTGCTATTTGTTTATCAATAAAATTACGGAAAAAATAAAATTAAAAAAAAACCAGAAGGCACAAAAGACTCAAAATTGTTCCACTGTCAGCACAGGCCATAAATGAAAATATGTTCTGTCAGAATAACATTGCTATTTACTATAGCCATAATGCATCCCTCTAATGCTCTAAAAATGATAAGAAAATGACTTTTGAGTGCCAGTGAGATAGCTCAGTGGACTAAGTGCCTGCTTAGGCAAGCGCAGGGTCCAGGATTAGAACATCAACACCACATGCCATGTCAGCCCTGCCCCCAGCACGTGCTGAGCTGGCGGCTGAATCCAGGCATGGTGTCACACACTTGTAACGCTAGAGCTGGGGAGGCTGAAAACAAGAGGAACACTATAAGCCCAAGTTGCATAGTGAGACCCTGTACCAAATACAAAAAGAAAAGAAAATGACTTTTGTTGCCAGTTTGCAGATGAAGAAATCATATTTAGAAGTCACTTGGACAAATATGACAAAGCCAGTACTGTCAGAGTCATGATGTAAATTCAAGGCTGCCCATGTCAGCGAGCCTCTTCCTTCTACTCCATGTCATAGGAGACAGGCTTTGTATCCAACCCTTCCTTCAAAGCCTCTCACCTCAATTAATCACAAAAGCAGAATGTACATCAAGAGATAAGCTCATTTATTTACTCATGGATCAACCTTATCTCCTGAATGTCTATGCACCAGGAGTTTGCTGAGGGGAGGTGGTGTTGGAACCAAATCCTTGCCATAGGCTCCAAACCTAGGAACAGAAAGGGGATTCCCAGGACACACACAGCATAAATCCAGAGTCTTGCACAAATGACAGGAATCAAGCTGTAAGAGAAAATCAGAGAAGACCTTCAGAATTAGAACCAGCCTAATCATTTCCACATTGTTCCGCATAAAGGTGCCCCAAGATAGAAAGGTAGTGTGATAGTGGAAAATGTTTTGGAATTAGGGGAGTAAGCTCAAGTTTCACTTTCACTGTAAAAAGAAAATCTCAAAGCGCTGGACTACATTATTCTTTATTTTTTTCTTTGTGAGGGGAGAGTCTACAAGGTGTTCAGTGTCTCACTCCTAGATCAGACTCGTTTACAGCCTCCCAAGAGCTGGGATTACAGGCGTGCACCACCACGCCCAGTCTCTATTGCCTTCTCAGCACAGGGCAGGGCCTACACAGGCAGGCCTGGGGATCAAACCCCTGGCCCCTATGCCTGCTTGCAGATGTTTTAATCCACTGAGCTATTTGGCCAACCCCAGAACTACATTATTCTTAAACACCAATGTTCTCTTGGATTTTCACCATAGGCCTATCATGTAAATAATCCAAATAATAAATATTTTGCGCATACAGCTTTGTACAAAACAATGCCACTTTCATTACGTCTATTTTATGGATAAAGAGATGGAAACCCAGAAAGTCATTTGCTCAGGGCCCTCACATGGAAAAGATAGACTAGCATCAAAACCATAAGGGATCCAGTGGGAAGCCATGGCCTGAGACCTAGGTAACAGTGCCTTTGTAGTTCAAGGGATTTGGGCATTCTCTACTTGGAGTTGGGGAGGGGTCCTCCCTGACTTTTGGGGGCTGGTGTGTGGATGTGGATGCATCTGGATGTCCAGAGGGCTGATGCAGAGAAAATCAGTGGCAGGAAGATCAATGTGTCCCAGTCCTCTCCTTACCTTACTGAGGGGTAACACAGGCTTTCCCACACATGGTCTTGCAGCACTTGAGTTTACCCTCACATTGGCCATCCTTCTCACAGAAATTGGGGGGATTAATCATCAGGCATTCACCATTGACTACTGGGCACTTCCCAGGCTTCTTCCTTGCTATAAAGAGTAGAACCTGGGGTTAGAAGCCTTGTATCTTAGACGTCATCTCACTGCTTCTGCACCAACCTGAGCAGGAAGCATCATCTCCCAAGCCCCATCGCCATCACCTCCTCCTTAAGGCACCATCCTCAAATAACACCTGTCTCCCCTCTAACATCTCTATCCCAGTCAATGGTATTGGGAGGCTAAGCTCAAGCTTCACTTTCACTGTAAAATCTAAGTCTTAAAGCATTGCATTACATTATTCTTAAACATCAATGTTCCTTTGGATTTTGACCATAGGCATATCATACAAATAACCTACATAATATTTCATGCATCCAGCATTTCACAAAAGTTTCAGCTTTATTATGTCTATTTTACAGACAAAGAAATGTGAACTTGGACCAGCTTTCTAGAGATGACTGGATTGTAGTGTCTAAGTGCCTAGCTATTTGAATACCCAGATAGTTACGTGAGAGACACACCTCCTGACATAGGCGGCTTCAGCCAAGTGACTAACTTCCTGCCTGGGCAACATGGCTCCATGACTGGCTGACATATTAGGTTCAATTGCCCTTGGAAAGGAAGAGGCCTGGTATCCAGTCCCATCCCCACAGATGCTGGCTAGTCAGGCTCACTCCTTTCCAACCAGGTCTTCCACCAGCTCACCTGATTTTGAGATGTTGATAGGATCCAGGCAGCTGGTGCTACAGAAATCAGGGCAACATCTTTTCTTCCCTGGACATTGCCAGTCACTGTTGCATTCAGGCTTATCAAGTCTAGCACACAGGACATGTTTTCTAGCAGGGCAGGCTCCAGCTTTCTGACTTTCTGAGGAGAATTTCAAGAAGGGAGTTGAGGGCTAAGTAGCCACCATGACTCTTGGACAAAGCACCACTTTCCAGGAGAAAAGAGCCTCCCCCTGGGGGCTGTCCAAAAAGCCCAAAGGAAAATATGTGTCTGACTGCTAAGAAGAGTGACAGGTTTAGTTGAACCAGACATACACACAGGAGAAGTAACAGATCCGGTAACAACATAGAGGGCTGACAGTCAAGGTCTTTCCCTCTAGGGCAAAAGTAAATTGCACAAAGACAAAAAAGGAGCCCTGGGACTGACAAAGACTAAGAGAACTTAAGATAAATGGAACTATCCTATGAGATGTTGGAAACTAAAGCTAGTGTCAGAAGCATAAAGCCTACAGGACAGAGATAGAGGAAGAGATTAATAATTGGAAAGTCATACATCAGATGAGAGAGAGAGAGAGAGAGAGAGAGAGAGAGAGAGAGAGAGAGAGAGAGAGAGAGAGAGAAGTGAGACCTGGCAGATGAAAAAAGAAGCGTTTCCTGATGCTCAGAAGTCCTACAGAGGTCTTGGAGCCCAGATGAACATATATGCCACCCTCAGGGAGGTTTCTAGAAACTAAACTGAGAGATCAGAGCCTAGAGAAAGGCACAGACCCCAAGAAGAGCCCTCACCACTGTTGGCTCCAATCAAGCTTGGGCCAGGGAGACTCCAACTTACTTTTCCCAGAACCTTCCACAGCCAGTACTTCCAGAGCTCCCAAGGCAAGAAATGCCACGACGAAGAAGAGGCTCTTGGACTTCATGGTGAAGGCAGGTGGCTCTAATGACCAACGTGAAACCTCACTATTTATGTCCTTACCAATGGGTGTGGCCCCAAGAGAAGGCTTTGACTCCTCCCAGCTGCTACTGCGTAGGCAGGAAGCTTAGCTGGAGACCAGAAGTTCTAAAACAAGACAGATGGTGGTCTCGTCCCTTTCCTGCTTCAGATAGGACTGTTAGTTCTATAAAGTAACTAGCCTTTCAGGTAAAGAAGGTGTGAAAGAATTCAGTGGCAAATGTGCCACTGGGACCAGGAGCTGAAACTGGAGATGTGGACTCTCAGCTGTGACTGTACAGTGCAATTCTAATTCTCACATTACCGGACTCCTCGGGATTGTGAAACTCCCTACCAATTGCTCAATGCAAGTTCCTTCTCAGAAGTGCAGATGACATGCCACTCAAACCACAGATGTTTATTTTCCTGAGATATTTGCACCGTTATATCCCCAGTGCCTGTTCCATGGCCAAAATATGGAAACTGGGGCTGGCCAAATAGCTCAGCAGATTAAAGTGCCTGCAAGCAGGCACAGGGGTGGGGGTTTGATCCCCAGGCCTGCTGTGCCGGCCCCACCCCCGGGGCATGCTGAGTAGTAGCACATGCCTGTAATCCCAGCTCTTGGGAGGCTGTAAACAGGCAGATCACTATGAGTCCGATCTAGTAGTGAGACCCTGAACACCCTGTAGACCCTTCCATAAAATACAAAAAAAAAAAAAAAAGGAAACCATTCTCTAAACAAATAAAAGATGCACAAGGGTGAAATTAATATTACATTTAAACTAGTAATAATATAAGTTAAATTATATACTAATTAAATATATAATGTATTAATTAAATTATTAATGATCTTAAAGGAAGATTATCAGGAAAGAACCCTGCCCTCAGAAAATCTTTTTGGAATTCCCTTCTCAGAAGTTATGATATTAAGGGTATGAAAAGACCTGGAAAAAAATGGTCAGATCCCTTATTGTTGAAGATAGTTGAAATGAATGTCTGAGATAAAGGGCTAAAAGTCAATTGCCAGTCACTGTAATCAACATTAAGTATGAAATAATCTGAGATTTTGAAAGAATGCTTTCTGCCTCCCGAAATTCCCTATAGATCTCAAGTGACAGCAAAAACTTACACTGCTACATATTAAACCTATCCTAGTTTTATTTATGTCTAAAATACCAAAATGTTGAAATTCTGTTCAGCATTGTTTACTTCCCTGATTCTTTTCTTATTAGCACATTTGAAAGACGTTTTTAAATGCAATGAATCTATTAAAGATAATAACCAGTACACAGTTTTAATTTGAAATAAAAACCTATTCTACATATTAAACCCTGGGCTACATACACTGCTTCTAATTCTTGAGGGTGATCATTATCTCTGAAATTCAATGAAACTTTGCCAACTGCCAAATCCAAGTTCTCACTCCACCACCACATGGCCTCTTGATATTGGAAACACTCGCATTCACTTATCAAACTAAAGATTTGTAGAAATTCAAATAGCCATTAAAGAACCACAAATTACAAGTAATGAAGATTCCACATCAAGTTATTTGTTAAGCACTCTCCAGGCTGTCGCTGGCAGCAAATTCCTCTGTGCAAAAGTAATTCAGTGATTTAAATTCTGATGAAAAAGAAAAATGAGACAATTAATATGTATTAGATAAATGCAATGAGCCAAGTACCTTCACTGAGAGGTAGACTTCCCAGTAAGGAAGTAAGAGAGAATAGAGCGTCTGTCTTCCAAAGATGGGCAATATCACAATCAGTGTAGGTTTTGTTTTTTTTTTAAGTTAAAAATTCCTTAATTTTTTATTCCTGGTACCACTACCATAATTTACAGGGCACTATACCTGATGTAATGAAAAGAAAGAAAAAGACAAAGCTACAACAGATAAAAGACCTCAGGAGTGTACATCTAATTAACACCACATTGCATGAATCAATAGCTGCACTTTTTGCAAACTGTGGCTATGACAGTCCTGAACCAGAAGGGTTTCCTGTTTAAGCTGCAGTAACTTTTCTGACTATGGATCATCGTTCCTTCTGTGGCAGATTTTTCCAGTTCCTCTAATGCATTTGGGATGACTGTCTCAAAGTAACCTGCAGCTTTCCTGACAACTCATCACTCTCTCTCCTGCTAAGAACTGTAGCCCTTTTCTGTTGTTTTTAAAAACCTTCTGCTATGTTATCCACCACTTCCACCACCAGATCCATAACCACCACCATAGGGACTGCCAGAGCTTCTTCCACCAAAACTGCCCCCCCTTCATGGGTCCATAATTTGACTGTTGCTGTCCACTGTAATTTCCAAAATCATAGTTCCCACCACCACCATAGTTACCACCACCAAAATTTCCTCCTTCATTGTAACCATCATATCCTCATCCACCACCACCATATCCACCACCTTGATTTCCATATCCTCGTCCACCACCACCATACCCTCCTCTACTACTGTAACTAGGACCACCACCATAGTTTCCACCATCACCTCCAAATCCATTACATCTACCATCACCTCCATAACTACCTCTGCTGCCACCTCCTCCACCTCATAACCTCCTCTTCCACTAAAGTTTCCACCACGGCCAAAACTCCCTCCACCACCTCCAAAGTTTCCTCCACGACCCATAAAGTTGCCAGATCCACTTCCATGGCCTCTTTGTGATCCAGCAGACTGCATCTCTTGTTTAGAAAGGGCCTTTTTCACTTCACAATTATGCCCATTAATAGTGTGGTATTTCTGAACAACAATTTTATCAACTGTGTCATGATCATCAAAAGTTACAGAAGCAAATCCTCTCTTTCCCACTCTGCCTGTCTTCCATAACTTCTATGGTTTCAATCTTGCCATATTTTTCAAAGTAGTCTCTCAAATTACATTCTTCTGTATCTTCTTTAATACCACCAACAAAAATTTTCTTTCCTGTTAGCTGGGCACCAGGCTTTACTGAATCCTCTCTAGAAACAGCTCTCTTTGGTTCCACTACATGCCCATCAACTTTGTGTGGTCCAGCGCACACTGCTGCATCCACCTCCTCAACACAAGAGTAAGTCACAAAACCAAAGCCTCTGGAGCGTTTTGTTTGAGGATCTCTCATTACCACACAATTTGTGAGTGTGCCCCATTTTTCAAAATGTTCTCTTAAACTATCATCGGTAGTTTCAAAACTCAGACCACCAAGAAACAGCTTCCTCAACTGCTCTGGCTCCTTCGGATCATGGCCCTCCTCCCCACAGCAGCGACCGCAATGGCCGGAGTCGGGCTGGGGATGACCGGGAGGCGATTTTCCCTCCATGTTGAGACTGGACTTGCCTCTTCCAACTCAAGTTCAATATGGGACCAAGAGGAAGAGGCAGGGCCAGTCCAGGGTAGGGTTTTTGTTCTCATGTTTTCCACCCAGGGGAAATTTGGCTGCCTCATAGTTCACCACTCTCTGTTTCTTCTTATAGTCCTATTGCTAAGAGACTATCTGGAGTTTTCCAAATGTTTATTTCTTAATGAGTAAAAAGGGGAATGCTACAGCTGGTTTTCTATCTGTGATTGATTAACTGATAAAAGCCAACTCTTTCTCATTGGAAAGGAGCCCTAGGACCAATTAGCAATGTCTTCCATGCATAACAGAGGAGGACAGTCAAGTGTGACTCTAAGCTTTTGAATCATAGAATGGGGGGCCAGGGAGATAGCTCAGTAGAATAAGGGCTTTCCTAAAGGCTTCCTATTTTTGTTTTTGAGACACTTTGTAGTGTAGGCTGACCTCAAACTTGTGGCAATCCTCCTGCCTGATCTTCCCCAGTGCTGGGATTATAGTCATGCATCATCATGCCCAGCAGGGCTTCCTATTTTTATAAGTGACATTTTCTTGAAACAGAGTCATATATTGATTTATGAACTAACTGTATGTGACTATTTTCTGACTACAATGGCAGAGTTGACTAGCAACATAAACCTGAAATCATTACTACAAAGCCTAAAATAATCACTGTCTGGCCCTTTACATAGAATGTTTTGCTGGCATTAAACACAGCAACTTCCCAGCTTACAATTAAAGAGACTGAATCCCTCAGGAAAAGTTACAAACCCAAAGTTATGTAATGAGTTCATTACACAAGTCTGAGCTTTGCCAAAACAGGTTTATTCATAGGCTGATCATCAGAACTTGTTTGGTAGTAGACACTTCCTCTCCTAACCCCATCATAACCTCAGATTTATTTGCTGAATATATTTCATAAACTCTCTATGGCTTTCTAGTAAACACTATATACTTAACCATTCATTCATCCCCACAAAAATTATTTAATAATGTCTTACCCCATGCAAGATATGGCAGGAGACCCTGAGGCTACAATGAACAAGATTCATAGAGTCAATATTTCATGTTAAGAATTTGAACTCTAGCCTGACTTCAATCCCCAGTTCTGAAAAAATAAAAAATAAAAAAAAAAAGAATTTGAACTCTAAGGGGCCAGGGAGATAGCTTAGTAGAATAAGTGCTTACCTGGCAAGCACAAAGGCTTGAGTTCGATCCCTGGTTTTCCCAAAAGAAGAAAAGAATTTGAACTCTAAAGTCAGACTTGCCTAAGTTGGAAGAAATTCTCCAAGCTTCAGCTACCTTCAGCTATAAAATAGAAACATTGCTTTCTTCTGTCCTATCATTGTTTGAGTATTTGACAAGCACTCTACAAAGTGTCTGGTCCTTTCAACAAAGTAGAAATTGATTTTTATTACAGTTGAGCTCTGTATTATTAGGCAACAAAGGGCTGTCTCTAGCTACAGTCTTGGTCCTTCCTATCTTGCTTCATCTCATTAAATATTGTAAAAAATCTTATTCTGTTCATGTCCTGTTTCTGTTTTGCTGGACAACTTTGACAGCTTTTCTGCCTTCATAGTTTCCACTACTATCTATTTAATGCTAGTTACATAATTACTTTTGAAGCTGCATCCTCACTTAAGCCACACAATCCTGGCTTCTAATTAATATATCAAGGCTTGTTAATGTGGTTCTTCCTCAGTGTCCACCAAATTGAAAATGAGAAGAGGAAACTGGCAGCTGGTAATT